GAGGTATTCATTGGGAGTATCTCGCTAGATCCGGGAAATGACATGAATGCTGTTTTTCGTGCGCGTATTACTCGCGCGTCTGGGAATTGAGATGCTCGAAATCACGACGACTGTGTAATCGCTATAAGCCCACAACACAGACATGACCTGCCCATCTTGATGAATACGGAGCGGTGGTGTAGTCGGGCTTGTGTCACGTGATAATCCGATGACACCTTGTTTAATAAGGTATCATCGGATTATCATCGGATAATAAGGCTTATTATCCATGTCCGCCCTGAGCCCCTTGGGTTGAAAGTTAAATGAGCGAGCGCTATTTTCGGACTGCGGGTCTCCCGGTGAAACACACCAGTTCCTCAATCGCTGTTGCGGAAAAATATTTTCCCCCATCGTTAGCTCTCGTCTTTTCTCGTCGCCAACTTCTATATTAGAGCAAATGGTCGTAACTCCGCCCCAATCGTACCGCAAACTAACGCTGCAACGCCTTTCGCAGTGATGACAGAGAGCTAACAACGCGGGCGTTCGCTACTGAAACTACCGCTAAGCTGTATTAGAAATGAAGCAAGATGGAAAGTCGTGAGTGTGGAAAAGTCTTTTGAAAGAGCCCCCGATACGGCGCACCACGTCAATCATTCGGAAGGGCGAGTCCGAAATCTCGCAAATGGTCAGTGACTCGATGCTCTGTTCAAACCTCCTCTAGTTACGAGGGAATAGTTCGTACAAGCGCACGCACGCGTAGCTCAGCTTATTTCGCTCACTCCGAAATTACTCTTGTGAGAAAATGCGCGCACACGATCGTATTCTATAGCAATCAATAGCGCCTCTTCCGATGCATAGCAAGGATCAAACTCTACATCGAAGCTTTTGTCTAGCATGTCGCAGCTTTTGGCCATATTCGCGCGAAACTGTTGTATACCTGGTAACAACAGTATACGTGAAGTGAAGCGGCGTAAAACTCTGTGAAAAACACAACATTCGCGGTGATATGCAGTAGTCGTGGAATATATTCTTCGCTGGTGTTTTCCATATCACTAGGGTGGTGAAACTCCATTGATAAGACAGCAAATTTCAGTACCACTCCAGTGACACATTTTCCGATTTCGTTGCTCTAAACGGTCGACGAATAAAGCGTATTATTCCTTATTGATCCTCATTCATCGACCTCTATCAAGTGAAAGGGGTGTAAATTTCAGTGGAGTCTGGAAAGTGAAAAGTGAAAGTGGTGTAAATTTAGTGAAGGAGTCTGGAAAGTGAAAGGTGAAAGGGGTGTAAATTTAGTGAAGGAGTCTGGAAAGTGATAAGTGAAAGTGGTGTAAATTTAGTGAAGGAGTCTGGAAAGTGAAAAGTGAAAGTGGTGTAAATTTAGTGGAGTCTGGAAACCGGCTTGAGAAAGTGAGTGGTGTGAATTTAGTGAGGCCGTCTGGACAAGCTTGATAATGCAGCAAAACACTCCATCCCCGAGGACTGAGAATCCCCGAATGTGTTTCCCTTTTCCTTGCTCGAGGGATGTTGCATTGTTGATAATATTTTCTTTACATCTTTATATGTTATGTTGTCTGCGGTGTCACTTGGCCCAAGGTCGAGTATTCCCAGCGCTAACTCAAGAGTGTCGTCGTTGCATACGGAGTTAGCGGCTAGGAATTGATAGTGATACTACCTTCAATAGAGCTAAATCGATATTCGACGTTAATAGCTCATCAGTGCAAATCAGAAGCAATAGACATAACGCTCCGTCCGGAACACGACTCGCCTACCTGTGGTGTAATCAGCGGGTGCTTTTCTGTTGAGCTCTTCGTGACGTTCTTGCATCTCGAGTATATCAGCTTCAAGCTGGAGAGAAAACAAGTGACCAAATGGAATCTTCCACACGCTCACCTGCCTAACTTCTCGTTCTAACCTTTTTACTCTACTTACAGGTTTTACCCCATTTTCCGGCAAAATTTCAGAGAGATCCGGACCAGCTAGAACCTGTGATGACCAGTATAAGAGAATATGCACATGGTCAACTACACTATTATCTTAGGGAATTCTTGTTGGTTTTTGTACCCTTCTATAAATAGTGATGAAACGCCTAAGCCCAGCTAATGCAAGTGAACACATATTTCAACACTAGTTCTGACACTGACTATGAGAAGGCATCATATACTGCCTATCCTACAAGGAACTTAGTTCAGTGAAGATTACCCAGTATTTGCGACCAACCAGAATCAGTTTTGGCACAATTTTCCACCGATTGGCAGGATTCATGTGGAAGTTCATATGTTGATCAACGGACTCATCATCGCTCGAATCGGACATTTGATGAGCAGTTTAAAGACTTGACTGATGACAACTACCGCATTTTAGTGTTGGATTTACGGGTTTAGAGTCCAAGTTCGGAGCCTGAGTCTGAGACACATGATGTGGGAGACGCTGACGAGAATTGCAAGAGACGCGCTCTCTGTTCAGGCGTACACACTCACCGGGCTCTCATCACGTTAACCACTAGGATCGATGGGTTGTGTCGTCAACGTTTGGGATACACCGGTTGAGTTGGTTTCTTTTCCCTCCCGGGAGGGTGGGCGGGAGAGAATGAGATGAGTAGTTACTTGGAGATACTCTCGTGTGCCCACGCTCTGGAGGAGCTCCAAACAAGGGCAGCTTCGTTCTCCCGTGCGTGCGAGTTCTGATGTCGCTCGCCCTATTGTGTACGCACACACAAGCACACTCGTGTGTTATCATACACACTCACCGGGCTCCCATCACGTTAACCACTAGGATCGATGGGTTGTGTCGTCAACGTTTGGGACACACCGGTTGAGTTGGTTTCTTTTCCCTCCGTCACCAACTTAGGTGTATCCCACCGATCCACTCGGAACCCTCTAATCCCCGTGGATAGATAAAGGGTAACGAGTGATAGAGAAGAGTGTGTGACGACACAACTCGTTTCTATGATAGAAACAGTGTCCATCGAGTAGCTAACTATACAGAGAGTACTAAGGAATCGTTCGACAATGTCTCTTAGCGGCATCAGAAAAATAATGGTACTTGGTGGACGTAGAGCCGCTCTACTAGAGCGCCAACCGCCTATTTCATCAATAGTGTCGCTTGGGAAGTGCGACAACGCTAAATCGGTAATAACACCACGTCGGAACCCATGTGACGAGAAGTGAAAGAATCGGTGCAGACCAGCTCTTTTTGCACATCGTTTGAGTGCTATATTGAACGAAGCTAATGACATGATAGATTCTTTGGTTGACAGCACATACTTGGCTGCTTCCACAGGACATAGCTGGGGACCAAAGGTTGTGCAAGTGCAAGCTCGCGTCAGAACTACTGAGTTGGGTGAATTTTTTCGTTGGCGCAGATATAGAGTAACCGTCGTTTCACTCGGAAGGATCATGTGATTGCGAGAGTCCAGTAGTTCAGACCCAACACGCAAGCTGAAGCAATATGCTAAGACGCAGAGAGACCGGAGAAGGAGGAGACCGTCCTGCGTCGCTTGAGTCAAGCGGCTTGACGAACAAGGCTCCTGAGGGCGGATAGAGAGATGAACGATCTATCCCGACGAGACGAACTTGAAAGTTTGCGGCACCCAGACCTCATAATCTTCGTCAGTGGATCGTCGAAGAGCACGGGTAGTGATAAGAGTTCGTGTAGCTTGCGTAAAGCCGGTATATACCTAGAGTGTATCGGGTTACAAGCCAAGAATTCCTGGACGACTAAGGAGGTAGCTGGTAAGATTGTAGAAGTTGAATATGTTCTCCAAGACCACGTGAGATATGCCTTAATAGCTGATCTATAAGATCGCCATGTAGAAGGACGTAGATGCGCTTCGACGAGACTTTGTTGTGCCGGAGATAGCCAATGAGAGCCGATCGCGAAAAGTGCCGCTTTGTATTCCGGATGGGACTTGACTAAGTCCATCTTCAGATATGTACCTCTGGGCAAAGCATAGCTTGGAGACCATGTATGGAACTGAAGTAGAGTCGAGACACCGTCGTGAGATAAGGCTTCTAGAAGTCTCGTAGGATTGTTCAGCAAACGGCGTATCAGTGTGACGATAGCTGTGAAAGGGTTCGACATGTGGGGAGTCAACTACGTGTTCCTTTGAAGTAATGCTAAGAAATCCATAAATGTGGAACTGATGTACCGCAGTGTTGGATATAACTCGACAGATCACAATGTAAATAATACATGTGATAGTGCAGAGGCAAACAGAATGGTAACTTGCTGTTAAATCTCTGTAAACTTCATGGAGTAAAGCAGCGATCAGTCCAAGCTGGGAGAACCAGTGGGACCGTTTTCAGAGTAGTGCTAGCAAGCGTGAGGTCTTCGCCTCTAGATAAGCCATCGGCCAAGTTGAGCTTTGACGGGACATGAGCAACAAATATGGCCGTAATGTGTGTAGGTCGGCAATCCCTCTCCAGAACTCGCTACTGATAACATTCAAAGAAGGAGATAAGGACGATCCGCGTAGAATGAGGCTTTCACAAGTCGTGTTATCAACAAAAAGGAGAACTGGCTTATCACGAATGTAAGTGCTGAAAGACTCAAGTGCGGCTCCTGCAGCGAGAATTTCCAACTTGTTAATATGCACGCTACGAGAGTTAGCAAGTTGTAGCTTTCCCGCCATTCCGGAGGTCGTAGATTGGTATGGAGCTACTATCCCCAGGCCGAAAGTCGATGAAGCATCTGAGCAGCACCAGAATGGAGCATGATGTAGACTGCATTCTCTCACAAGGTCTCGTGCATATGACCTTGCTGAGAATAACGAGATTAAGCTCGATAGAGCGAAATCGATAACGTCAGATGACATCTGTAAGCCCTGGGTAGCACGTATCAGGATTCGAGTTTGCGCTCTACCAAGTCTGCCCAAAAGAGCTTCACAGCAAAACGAGGTCTTGCCGGTAAGCTTGGACGTCAAGAGGGCATGGTTCTGAAGGGCAGCGTGTAACTCTGATAGCAATTTCACTCTCCTGGTTGGAGTTAGACGCACCACGCATCCACCACTAGAGAGATCAAGTTCCAAGCCGAGCAGTACGTTGCGAGAAGCTGGTGGAACGGTTT